ATATATATATATATATACTACTATGGTGAAAACTACAATCCCCCCATCATCAAACCCACTCCCTCAGGGTCATATTCTTCTTTTTTTCTCCCCCTTTTCTCACTATTCTCATACATATCGCCTATAAGAAACAATATATACACATCATTACTATTCTTCAGGATTGAAAAAAAAAAAAGAAAAAATAGACAACTTCTATACTACTTCTTACACCCTCCTCCTCCCTCAAAAAAAAAAAAGGAATAAGCGTATTACATTACACGAAAAATAAATAAATAAATAACTAAAAACAATACCTTCTACCACCCCAGTTAACCATACAAGCCCAAAAAAAAATCCCTCGTTATCAAAAAAAAAATAATAATAATAATAATAATAATAATAATAATAATAATAATAATAATAATAATAATAACTACAATAACTTGTCTTACTACATATAATATTATCTACCCTACTGAATATCAACTAAGGTACAAAATTGCGGTACCATTGCTCCAACACAGTTTCTAAGAAGAAGAGTTCAACATCAACTTGTACTGAATAAACCCTCATTTACAGAAAAAACAAAACAAAACAAAAAAAAAAACAGTTTATTCACTTACTTGCCTTTTTGTTTTTCTTCTTCTTCTACAACCATACAACCTAAATATATATATTGGACTTATTGATATTTCTTAGTTTTCACTTGTCATATGTCTCCATTCTGATTCATCCTGATATTGCATGGGAATCTTCCAACTTGTTTGTGCCCCATCACGTTTTACTAATGGTTTCCAATTCCAGAATCTTTCATATTTGGCATGTTTCTCACGAATCTCTGGCCGAATCCATTGATCTAGATAAATATCATCTTCTTCTAGTGTAGGAACATTTGGTTGACTCAGAACAATATTACGAAAATGTGACCATCCAGGTTCTGTACCCATAGCTCGATAACATCCCCAAAGTGTATACCATGAATAAAAAACCATTATACTCCATGCTAACCAAAATGTTGGTTTTGTAGACATGTTAAGTCGCATACCATACCTACTAGCCATTTCATCCATTGTACTTTCCCAAGATTCTTCTGTCATTCGAATACTTTCCTCACGTGTATACGGGTACTTTGGATCAAATATCTCTTTTGGGTACTCAAACCACTCAATATGTGGGCTAAAGTCCATTGGAAGAATTGGTTCATTATGTGGAACAGCTGGTGGCTGTGGTTGTTGCGGTCGACCTGTACTTGTGAGGTCTTTAGACTCTGTTGAGATATTTCTTCTGCTTAACAAGACTGCTATTTTAGCCACAGGAATACTACCAGAAACAACTCTTCTAAGCATCTATTGCAAGGTCCTTCCTTTAAGAAGAAATAGTTTCCCTCTCTCTCTCTCTCTCTATATATATATATATATATATATATTCCTTCTATTGTTATTTTTTTTGTGTGTGTGTATTTGAGTGAGTGAGTTGTTTTATGCGTGTACCTTCAACTGTAAATATGTTCCCCCTCTTAACAACTTCTACGAGACTAAAACAAGAAAGAAGGAAGAAAAGCAAAAAAAAAAAAAAAAAAAAAACAAATAAAATAAAGAGATGTTATTTCTAACATATGTAATGCTTCTCACTTTCAATCAAGCAGAACAAAAAAAGAGGAGCTTAAACAAAGAACAACAACAAGAGAAAAAACATCATCATAAAGAGCATCTCATTTTCTATAATAGAATCATCTAAAAAATCCGTAAAAAACGCCAAACAATTAATGAACACACTTATAAAAATAATACTCTGTTTATATATATCTAAGAATAATTGTATGCGCATTGATATGTACTGTGTATATTTATGTATGTATGCATGCATGTGTGTGTGTGTGTAGGCGAACGTTAAGCCGATGAAAGGAGAAGAAAGGAACCTTTTATTTTTGTACACCGTCAACTTTTCCCATTATCATAATCATCAACAACAACGTAAAAAAGAAAATGAAAAACCGAGTGACGAGACACACACACACAGATACACAGAGAGATAGATAGAGACAGTGATCACGCGAATGTTAGGGCATTCAATAGTCCCGTTACATCTCTCTTAAGGCATGCGGCGACCGCCACTTGTCTCAATGACTCCAATCTCTCAATAGCATCATAGTTTTGCTGAATGGCGGCCGCAAAAACAGTAGGACACGTCAAACATCTACTGCATAATGGTCCACTGCTGTGTGAGTCTGTTGATAAACACGGTTCACTGCCGTGTGGTACACTTGCAACGGTCGCCGCCGCCGCAGCTGCATTCTTTTGTTCTTCCAGTTCCTTCTTAACTTCATCCAACACACTCAAGAGAAGTGGAGCCGCTGCGGTACCCGTACAGGCGATATTCGACACTGGAGGAGTTACACCTTCTTCTTCCCCCACCTTCTCTGTCTGAAGCATCACAAGAGCGTCCACCCCTGCTGGTTTACACACCTGCGCCATACTCTCTTTATGTGAGGAACCAGTCAACGTACATTTTTGCTCACTTCCTTGTATCACTTCTGCTGCACTCAAACTCTTCCCACCATTTACAAGAGGAAACGTTTCTTCTTCACGCGGTCTCTTACATGGCGGGATGGAACGTGTCTCCAGTGACGCCTCCCTGTCCACATTTGCCTGGATACCATCTACTTCCGCTACTTCCTCATGACCAGAGTTAGAGGCACCGGAAAGAAATAGCTGGACTCTGGACTCCAGTTCACGCACTTCAAGTCTACGCTTGAAGGCCTCCGCACGGATCCAACGCCACATTTTCAGCTCTTCCACAAATGCCTTTCCTTCTATCCATGCGGATGCCGTCATGTTACCAACTGCGGATTGTGCAAAACGAGCAATACCCGTTTCCTTCTCATTCGAGTTATTATTACTCATAGAAGAACTCAGCGTATGTACCAGTGAGAGCACTCGCTTTGCATTAAGAAATCGTATTGTCGGCGTAGGATTTTTGCAGAATTGGATATCATGCAGTGAAACCGAGGTACCTTCTCTATTACCATCCTCATCACTTCCACTAAATATAGCATGTAAGAGCACGGCAACATCCTTTGACTCAACATCAGCAAAAGAACTGTAATTAACATGAAAAATATCTGTAAGCCATTTCAGAATGGCCGCACGAGCATATATATTGCTGTCCGTCTGCTCTGCCATTTTATTATTATTTATCCCTTAATGCTCTTACCTAGCTACTATTTAATTCAGAAGGTACCCACATGCACGCGTTTTAATGTATACAAATGAAGAAAGAAAAAAATAAAATTAAAAAAGTGACTAGTAAATAACCCCATATACAAAAAAAAGCAATACTCAACAGACCCAATCGAGGCACTACAATAGAAAAAAAAAGAGAACACAACAAAGAAATCACTCAAAATAACAAACAAACCGTAAAATTTTACGAAGAAAAATTCCTCTTGAGCACAGCAAAAATGTATTTAATTTCTTCATTTCCCTATTTTCCTTTTCACACGATCAAGACACACACACACACACACACA